CAGTGGATACCCTAAAATTGGTGCTGTGATTAAATGCTTTTTTAAGGTCTCAAAGGCATTTTGGCAGTCTACATCCCAGCGGTATTCTCTTGCTTCCTCTGTAAGTCGCGTTAATGGTTTAGCGATATCTGCAAACTTCTTAATAAACCTCCGGTAATAAGTACATAGTCCAAGAAGACTTCTTACTTGATGTTTGTCAGTTGGTTTTGGCCATTCCTTAATGGAATCGATTTTTCCCTTATCCACGGCCACTCCTTCTTTACTGACTATATGACCCAGATAATTAACTTTACCTTGAAATAGCTGGCACTTCTTGGGGTTTAACATCAATTGGGCAGCTTTAAGTCGATTAAAAACGTTTTCTAAATTCTTCAAATGGTCTTCAAATGTCTCCCCCAAGACGATTATGTCGTCTAGATAAACTAGGCATGTTTTCCAAGATAACCCTCTCAACACATTTTCCATAAGCCTCTCAAATGTCGCAGGAGCGTTACAAAGTCCAAATGGCATAACGTTGAATTGCCATAATCCAGATCCTGTGGTGAAGGCTGTCTTTTCTTTATCTACCGGGTCCATTTCTACCTGCCAGTATCCAGACTTCAAGTCCAAAGTAGAAAATAATTTACTTCCAGCCAATGTGTCCAATGTGTCATCGATCCGAGGCAGAGGATAACTATCTTTCTTGGTAACGTTGTTCAGCAAACGGTAATCCACACAGAACCTCGTTGTTCCGTCTTTCTTCTTAACCAGGACCACCGGAGAGACCCATGGGCTCGTAGAAGGTTCTATCACGCCGTCTTTCTTCATTTCCTGAACAATCGTTTCAGCTTCCTCTCTTTTCGCCTGTGGTAATCGTCGTGCTGTTTGACGAATTGGCTTAGCATTACCAGTATCAATTTTATGCTTAACAACGGTAGTTCTTCCCGTCTTTCCTCCTTTCGGTACGAAAATATCACGATACTGCCGAAGAAATTCCCTTAATTTCCTTTTCTCAATCTGATTCAGAGACTGTCCAGCAACCGCAACCATTTGATCAAATTTATCGTTGGAATTATCAGACGTTGTCGTCTGACGGATTATGGATGTGACAGGTACACAAGTTCCTACTTTTGTCTCTTTCTTGATGGTCACTGGGTAGTCATTGACATTAATAAGTCTCACAGGAATTTCTTTAGCCGAAGTCACTAATTCTTTTCCAATTATGATTCCACGGCCAACTTCGTCGTCATGATTCCAAGGCTCCATCATAACAGGTGTTCCTTCGTCCACAATTCCCTGTAGCCGCGCTACTATTATCGTTTCACTTCTCGCAGGCACGACTGTATCTTCTTTAACGGCTGCTTGCATAGTGTTGTCATCATGTGGATGGAGAAATACCTCCTCGTTACCAACTTTGATAACCTTATTCTTAAAATCCAATTGGAACCCATGCGTATTCATTACGTCCATTCCTAATATAACATCCTCTTCGATGTCAGCAACTATAACAGTATGGACGAACTTTTCTGTTCCAATTCCTAATTGTACCTGGATTTCTCCATGAATGTTGGCATTTTCACCTGTAGCGGTCCGCAGTCGCAACCTCGTTGGTAACAGTTTCTTACGGCTGTTTATAACTGTCGGGCGAATAATAGATCTTGTCGCTCCGGTATCCACCAACAACGTATGCTTTTTACCATTTATTTCTCCATCTACATATACACTATCTTCACGACATTTCAAAGAAGCTATTAGTATGAGAGGGTCTTTGGAAAAGTTCTGGGTCGAAGCTGCCCCCCTAAGGCCGACCCGTTCTAGTTTTCCTGATGGTGAGTTTCTTGATTTGCGTCGTACTTGGGATGCTTACATGAACTTCGTACGTGTCCCATTTCGCCACAATTCCAGCATCTTATTATCTTCGGTTTCTTGTATGTCATGCTTTTTATCATATTAACGAGCTGGTCAAGTTTATCTTCATCTCCTTCCTCTTTTACAGTCCTAACTTTACTGTACCCGCCAGAGGCCTGCGTAGCAGACTCGTATTCCAGGGCGGCGGATAAGACATCAACCAGCGTCTTGTGACGAGCTAATCGTAGTGTTCTCTGCATTTCATGATCACGAAGACCATCAATAAACGTTTGAACGGCCAACTTTTCCATCATGTCTTCGGGAGCTGTAGGATAAGCGTATCGCACTAATCTGGCAATATCTACTTCATATTCTTGAAGAGCCTCATCTCTCTTTTGTCTTCGGTTTTTGAGCTGCGACTGATATACATGCTCCAAGTGTTCGTGGCCATATCGCATATTTAACCTCTTTTTCAGTTGTTCGAAATCATCCGTCTCCTCTACGGCTATGGTCTGGAGCACATCTAAGGCATCTCCTCGAAGAGCTATAGTCAGGTTTACAGCCTTTTCTTTTTCTGACCATCCATTCGCTCTTGCAGCTGATTCGAACTGTTTCATGTAGTTGTTCCATGACGATTTTCCGTCGAAAGTTGGAACTTTGACATGAACATAACCTCCGCTTCCTTCAAATTTTGGCCGTGTTTCCAACTTACATTTCGTCTCGTCTTCTTTTATCTCTACCGGATCTAAAGCTACCGTATTAATTGGTGGTAGCACTCTCGTGTTAGTTATCATGGTCTCTAACTGTTTGATTTTCTCTTCAACTTTATCAAATGTTTTAGAGACTTCTTCAAACTTCTCACTATTCTGAATACATACTTCGTCGAATCTTCTAGACATATTTTCAATTTTCTCGTCATTTTGTCTAGCTATTTCTTTAATAATTTGAGACGTTTCATCAAATCTTTCATCATTCTTTCGAGAAGATTCTTCAATCATTTGCGACGTTTCATCGAATCTTTTGGAAACGGTATCGAACTTAATATCATTTTTCTTAGAAGTTTCTTCTATCTTTATTAAAACTGCTTCTTCTGCTGATTGAAAATGGAATGTCTCTGGGTCATCTCCATTCTTGTTAAGAACATTCTTTAGTCGTTCTTGGAGGATCTTCTTCGACCCGCTGCAGTCTTCATCGCGTTCTTCAAGTTGCTCACGCAACTGTTTTACTGAAAGTTGTACTAGCAGCATCTTTGGTCGGGCACACACGTACTTTTTAAATGTTCTTTCGTACAACGATCACTACTGAACTACGCGGATGTTACCGACGAACAATACCTTTCAAAAGTTCAAAAGTCTTTTTCAAAAATCAAATTAAATTTATCTACAATCCCACTTCTGACACCACTGTTATATATTTATATAGTTCTGATTTATTTGTCTTTATTCTAATTTATTGTCTATATTCTAATTTATTAAAACTCACGATAACTAATTACTAATCTATTAAATAGCTTATTAAATACAAATTTATTTGTTACGTTTCGTTACAAGTAAATCGCGTTTCCCGATCTTCTTATGACTAACTTCTTCAATAAAATTTCGTCCTTATATAAAGAACCGTAAGACCGCCTAGACCTGACCTGACCCTTGTCGAAAATACTGGAATGATCTCGTATTTTGGTGAAGGCGCTCGACTCGTTTTTCAACCTCGAGACGTGTATTACTCATAAAATTAGGGTCTAGAGGTTTCTGTAAACAACTTCGAATTTACTGGAACAGAAAACAGAATTAGTCATAATATATTGATAGTTATAAACGCCATAATTATCGTAACAGTATTCTTGAATCAATTGGGATTTTTCTTCTGGATTTTCCACCGCATATATTTGATTTTTGAATCTGTCACATGCATTGCAGACATGCGTTTTAGGTTTTCCAAATGGAAGATTTAATCTGGTGTTGAATATGTGTAGATAAAAATCATAGCTGATTTCAAATTTTGTTTTCATATGAGTTTCCCACTGTCTGTATTTATCAGGTTCATCCTTTTCAAGATATAGCAGATGCATTTTCATTATACTCAAATCAGGCGAATTTTTGAGTCCTGCTTCTGGTGTAGTGGGAGATGCGAATGGGAAATGAATTTATATGTGACTCAATTTGTTGGATCAGGTCTTCTGATCATTTTAGTAATCTGGATCCTTCAGATAAACCTCTTTTGTCAGTCATTGGAGCAGAATTACTTTTTTTACATTGTCCAATTCAATCAACACACATTATTATTATTACTACACATTATTAAAATTATACACTAAATAGAAACACTTTATTCAAACTTCACTTATAATGACAACTGGATACTGTACTGTACTGTAAAAACTGGATACAACGAGTTTTCATTCTCAATGATTGAAATGGATAACACTCTCGCCATCTATTGGAAAAACTATTAACCAGATATGTTCACTTATTCTGGGATAAAGAATTAGATTTATGCATTTACTTATTTTTCATATATATTTTATTAATTTAATACATTTTTTTCCAATCATGTCTACATTTTATTTATTATTTTGTTTATTTCTTGTTGCTTTTATTTTACTTTTAATCAGTATATCCTCAAATCGTTATTTGTCATCTGTATATGTTCCTGTTCACATAAATTGTTCATATAAATATGTATTTTTGGCTTATTAATTATTAAATAATTAATTAATTTATTTATTAATTAACACTATTTTAAAAAAATAATTTAATGTATCTGTACTAATTCTGTAAATTGGCTGAAAGATATGGTTGATGGATGTTTGGTATATTGTATCAATAAAGTATCTTTTTTCTCTCTCTACTCTCTCTTTCTGAATATAAGTATAGGACAGTTATAAATGTGTATAGTAATTCCTTAATATATTATAGTTCATACAATTGTGTTTTGAGTGGAAGACTGATTATTATATAACCTGTATGATTTCCTGACAGGGACAAAAGTATGTGAAAATAAAAATGCACTAAATAGCATTTTATCAGGAATGAAGAAATTGTGATGATTGTGATATTGTATTATACCTATAGTAGATCTCGCTGAACAGATATATACAAACGTTAAAATATTTTAGTAATATAGTTTTATTAGATTGTTATTATTGTAGGTAATGCTGTTTTTTATTTTTCTAGGTTTTAAATGGCATGAAATCTGCTGTGGTAAATGGAATATCTGCGAATATTCTGTTTGTTTATGCAGTATCACAAGTTGTAAAGCGGGATAATCTAGTGGAAACGGCATTAACCGTTTTTGCAATTGATAAAGATGTGCCGGGAATTAGTTATCGTGAAGTTAGCAACAGTGGTTTAGAACTTGCAGATATAACTTTTACCGATGTTCAGATTCCAGTAGGTAAGCATTTTTATCAATAGAACTATTAATAATATCGCGAACCACAAAAGTTGTAAAATGTCATGTTCTAGCAGAAACAACATTAACCGTTTTTGCAGTTGATAAAGATTTTCTAGAAATTAGTTGTCACGCAATTAACAGCAGTGTTTTAGAACTTACAGATATAAAATTTATGGATGTTCAGATACCAGTAAGCAAACACTTTTATCGATACATCTATCAACAACATCTCGAAGCACAAGTAGTAGTATGTAGTAGATTTCTTTATTTTCAAATAGGTAACCTAATATTCAAAAAAAGTTTCAACTTAAATAAATTTTTCACATATAAACAAAAGAGAATCAATCAATAACAAATTAAAATCAATATAATGTTTAACAACAAAAAAAGTCAATAAAAATATACAAGAATATTGTGTATATTCACTGTCAGTTTCAATACCACTTTATATTTTTAAGGAAAACCTTTACGTTATTCTCAAAATCAATAACAAATTGCAATCAATTCAACAAGTTCAACAAGTAAAAAAAGTCGAACATAAATAAATATATTGTACAAATTATTTGTCAATTCCAATATTAATTTATATTTTTAAGGAAAACCTTAAATTTTAACTTTAAAACTTTAACTGTCCTACAGTCTTTTAATTCATTAGGCAATCCATTGAATTCTTTAAAACCTCTAAATATTAACGAGTTCATTAGGCTGTTATAATTTATTTTAGAAAAGTATATGTAATTTTTATTTCTCGTATCATGTCTGTGCATGTCAATTGCTGAAAATAATCGGGTGCCACATTGTTTTTAATTTTATAAACCAAAATCAATGCAAAATATTGAAATCTTTGATTTACTGAAAACCTGTTCAATGTATTCAGCGTTAAATTTATTGGTGTCAATCGGCACATTCTCAATATTATATGCATACCACGATTTTCTAATTTCTGAAGTTGCTTCATTTTATTTAGGTTGAAAATATATGAGGCGTTTAGAACCATAGTGGATTAAGTCCACTTTTTATGAAAATTAACTTAGCGGTGTATCTATTACAAATAGAAATCGTTTTGGTGCTATAACAAACCACTTCCAAACTTACCGAAATAATAAACAGATGGCGTTAGTTTCCTATATCTCTGAACAATGTGTCATATTATTTTGGGATAGAGTGTATCAAGTCCAGTGGACTAGTCAGATTGTGCTCAGCGTATGTATCGTGATCGTTAATGATTAAAAATGGATTCAAATGACGACATTCATTAAAACAGAACAAAGAACCCTAAAAGACAGTATCTTCATTCCGATTTAAAGTTATTATGGTAAAAATATATTTAAGTGGTCGTCACAACCTTTTGTACATACAACTAGAATAGAGAAACATAACTTACTTTCGTATTTACCAGGACTTCGTGGTGATGCCAAACAGTTGGGCAAAAGTGTATCGCCTTTACAAATATGGAGGTGTCTAATCGATAACGACATTCTACATCTGTATTCTACATCTGTATTGATGAGGTGCTCATAGGTTTTAGAGAGCGTGTAAAGTTTTGCATGTACATACCAAATAAACCCAACAAGTATGGTCTGAAGGTCTTGATTCTTACTGATACCCGTACTCATTTTTTTTTAATGACTATATTTATACCGGCAAAGGTAGCGATGGCAAATAGATATTTGGCTGTACCAACCCAATCCGTGGTAAAACTTATTCAATCTATTATAAATACTAACAGAAATGTAACTGCAGACAATTGGTTCTCCTCTACTGAACTTGCAAATGAGTTGCGACAAAGAGGATTAACGTATGTAGGCAGGCTTAAGAAGAACAAGAAAGAAATTCCCACTGAATTTTTGCCCAACCGGAAGGGAGAAGTAGGGAGTTGTATCTAAGGTTTTACTAAACATGTTACAATTGTGTCTTATGTTCCAAAGAAAAGCAAGGCTGTACTTTTAGTTTCTACAATTAATCAACAAAAATACACTGATGTTAAAACTGGCAAACCTGAAATGATTGTCTTTTATAATGAAACCAAAGGGGGCGTAGATGCCCTGAATAAAAAATGTGTAATTTATAGTTCAAGTAGACGTACTAGGCGTTGGTCTATAGCGATATTTTATTCTATCATCGAGGCTGTACTTTTAGTTTCTACAATTAATCAACAAAAATACACTGATGTTAAAACTGGCAAACCTGAAATGATTGTCTTTTGTAATGAAACCAAAGGGGGCGTAGATGCCCTGAATAAAAAATGTGTAATTTATAGTTCAAGTAGACGTACTAGGCGTTGGTCTGTAGCGATATTTTATTCTATCATCGACATCGCAGCAGTTAATTCATATATATTACATCAAAGCTATCCAGAAGCAAATAACATACTACGGGCAGAATTTGTGAAGCTGCTTGCCAAACAACTCGTTGAACGACATTTGAATAGAAGAATTATCAACCAAACACTTCCAAGAGAATTGAGAATGAACATCAGTAGAATACTGAACAAACCGATGATTGTTGAAAACGTGCATCCCGATAAGGACCAAAAACGAAAAAGATGAGAGCTATATCCACGAAAAAATGATAAAAATATTAAGAATTCATGTGATGTTTGTAAGATATCAATGTGTGATAACTGTAGAGCTAATATTTGTAAATAATGTGCAAAGTAACTTTTTATCTGAATTCCAAAATTGCTAAAGTTTGGGTGGTAGTTTTTTATAAGTGGGGTATATTTTTTTGGTTTATTTTGTTTTTTTGTATTTCGTATATTTGATTTTATTATATTTTTTAATTATAAATATATTTTATAAACATTTTAAACAATAAAAAAATTACAACATTTTTAGTAAACCGTTTCATTATTTAGGATATTTTGACATGTAATTTGTAATTTGCTTAATAACTAACAATTTGAAAAAATATTATAAAAAAAATTAATACACTAATGTAAAACATATCAAAGAAATTATATTGAACATAATTTGTCATATTTTTAAAAAATGTTGGCAATACTAAATAGAAATTACATGGGGTCTACATGGCACCACATCTGTAGTTATGTTCCAGAAAGTACACGTCAGTGGTAGAAGGTTAAATTGAAGGTAATTTAAATTTAGCGCCCAAATAATATTAACACATATATTTTTTAGAAAACGTAATTGGAGAAGTCAACAAAGCACAGTCTATTTTATCAAGAATAGTAACAGATCTCAGATTAAATGTAGGTCCCATGGCTATTAGTGTCTCGAAAAAAATTCTCAATAATGTTATTACAGACATAAGAACCAAATCTGACGATAAGAATTTGTTACATGAAACTGACGCAATAAGGGACAGCATTGCTGAGGTACAGTATAAAAAATTTCTTTTAATTATGGCATATACCGTGTAACAGGACATACATTACGGAATATGTATGTATATAGAGCGTTAACCCTTTCAGTCACTGTGTTGACGACACAAGAATTTTAACTTCGTTTAAGTAAATATTACAGTATGTTATGGTATAGCAACAGTGTAGTTATCTCACAACATCCAATCTTAATTAGATTTACGACCCGTAATACAATCTGTTAAATTCCAGTTGAACTAAAGCAGTTTCCTCTGTTTACATTCACAACGGTTTATGAAACCTATCGATGCTACTAAAATTATTATATTTTTTTACCCTTCTAAATTGTTAAAATTGTCTTCTTTTCAAATAGCGGAAGCTTCTAGGTGCAAATAATAAAATTAAATACTAAGTACACTTCAAAATTTCCATAATATGTCAAATTATTTTTTTGAAATTATATGTCGTCATTTAACGACATCGTGACTCAACGACTTGAGTAATAAACATTTACACGGTTATTATTAGATCTAAAAATGAGTCAAATAAAGAGATCTACACCTCTTTCGGCCATCTAAAGAAACTTTTTAGTTCATTTTAGGAGCTATATTGTAGAAGCTTTAATTTCATGTCACATAGGAGCTAGAAAAATAGAGCGCCCGTCAAATGGAACTAAATCAGAACCATTGAACAATAAAAAGAACCAGGAAAGCCGGCCTATTGATAATGTACACTTTGACAGTATAGCACATTTTCATTGCATGCAGAAACGAAATCTGAAGATGTAAACTCCCAGAATGTAAAGGCAGTTCCCGTATTATTTGTCAAAAATGTAAAGTACATCTATGTTTGACAAAAAATAAAAAATGTTTTTTACAATTTCATAAACCGTAATTTTGTATAATATATTTTAATCATTAAATCATGTTTTTTTAAGTAAATAAATGTATTTTTATCCTAACGTTTAGCTGTAAAATTATATGTCATACTCATTAGTTTGTAACCAGTTAGTCACAATGTCGTCAATTGACGACATCAAAAACGGGCCTTATTTTAATAAAAAATTATAATATTCTTACCGAAAGCTATTAAGAATACCATAATTGGTAGGAATTATCAACAAAATATTTTTCATTGCACTAAAAAAAGCGTGACCGAAAGGGTTAACAGGCCTTTTAGGCCCATTGCTGAATTGATAATTTCTGTTTTCTGTTCTTAGCTGCTAGCTTCCAATCTCTGATTCCCATTTCTCTGTCATCTTCTATCACTACATCTCACCATTTCTTTTTTGGCCTTTCTCTTTTTTCCCTCAGGTACTCTCCGACTTTCCCTATAGTGTATTTTTATGTATGAGAGAGTAATAAAACAATAAATTATGTATGCAAATCCCTAAACTGTTGATACGGGTGACTCAATGAAAAACAGATATTTGTCAACAAGTTTACAGAAGTATATAGGAAACAATTTAAAATTGAGTATGACCACCAGGTATAAAGGTTGGAGCAGAGTAGAATACAATAGTTGTGAGGATTACTAATCCCTAAATAAGGTTGCCAGTGTCGGAGTGATGGAGGTTAACAGGTACTAATGAATTTGCAAGAAATGTAAGATGTTTATTTTATTGGTTATATATAACCAATAAAAGTTTAATAAGTACCTACCTATTTGCAAAATAAAGTTTAATTCTTTAGATAAAATTCTATCTGAAATGAGTGCATTCCACGAAGTAAGGGTTTCAACAATCAAACATTTAATTCTTTAATTCCAGGAATCTACGACAGTAATTGACTAGATAATTACCTTCTAAACTTATTCCACAGAAAATGTGATAGTGGGTTTTTCCATTTTGTAGGAAGGTCCAAGTGGCGTATTCAAAATTCTTAACAGTTCACTAAAAGTAGGTACTTCAGTTGCAAGGTGCAGTTTATTGTGTATACTAGTGTTATGGAAAATTTGGAAGTGCCGTGTAAACGCCGAAAAATTGGTCCTTTAACAGTTAATGAAAAAACATTAATATTTAATTGTTTTAAATCATTTACAGACAAACGTTTATGTGAAAGTGTTGATGAGACCGTTGAGTTAGTTAACAGTACACTTGGTGTTGGGAAATCTACGATTTACAGAGTTATTAAAGAAGAGAAATGTGGTAGTTTTCAAATGCCACGTAATGCTCCAAGGAAACCAAAATTTCAAATAGAATATCATTTTAAAGAAGGACTTCGACGGAAAGTGCATGAATTCTTTTTTAGACAAGAATTTCCGACATTGGATAAAGTTCTTGTCTCAGTTCGAGATGATAAGGATTACCCAGAAATGAGTCGAAGTACGTTATGGAAACTTTTAAAAGAAATAGGTTTCCGCTGGAAAAAGAATCCCAGAAAGTCTATTTTATTAGAAAGAAGCGATATTGTCATATGGAGAAGACATTTTCTAAGAACCATAAAGGAAATGAGAAACCAAAAAAGAAAAATATTTTATCTTGATGAAACATGGATCAACGAGGCTCATACACCAAATAAATTTTGGCAGGATGAAACTGTTACAAGTCAAAGGCACGCTTTTGTAAATAACTTATCTACTGGTTTAAACCCACCATCAGGAAAGGGGCGCAGGCTGATAATAGTACACATTGGCAGTTCAGACGGTTTTGTTGAAGGTGGTTTATTAACTTTTGAATCAACTCGTACCGGTGACTACCATGAAGACATGAACGCTGATGTCTTTCAAGAATGGTTCGAACAAATGATAGATCTTCTTCCTAAGAACTGTGTAATAGTAATGGATAATGCAAGTTATCACTCCAGACTTATAGAAGGACTGCCCACAACCAAGTGGTTAAAAAAAGACTTGCAGAATTGGCTGAGTTCAAAAAATATTACGCACCATTCCGGATCTATAAGAAAGGAACTTTATTCGTCGTGTGCCCTTCATAAAGAAAAATTTAAAAAATACGAAATTGATGAAATTGCCAAAAATCGTGGAATGACAGTACTTAGATCCCCACCATATCATTGTAAATTAAACCCGATTGAACTGGTATGGGCACAGATAAAGAGTGAAGTTTCAAGAAAAAATACCACTTTTAAAATTCATGATGTTAAACAGTTGTTTTTGGAGGCCGTAAATAATGTAAAACCTGAAAACTGGGAAAAGGCAGTAAATCACACTATTAAAGAAGAGGAAAAAATGTGGAAGCTGGACAATACTACTGATAAAATGATCGAGCCAGTTATTATAAATCTTGGTTCTGAAAGTTCATCTTCTGAATCTGATTTGGATTTGTAACAAGTAGCTGTAAGTTTTATATTAATATTTTTATTCATCTATTTAACATACCTTAGACGGTTTTAAAAACTCTTTTTCTCTTTTGTAATTTTTAAAAATTAAAAAAAATGTGAATTTTTTAAAACCCTTTTTAATGTAGGCCAGTCAGTTCTAATATAGTGTGTGATAAAAGAGGTCACTTTTGTTTACATACACATAACACTTTATAACACTGAAATAATTCATTTATTTTTTACAATTATTCAAAGTAATTTTTCAATTAATCTTATGCTAATTACTCTCTCGTTCATAAAAATAAACTATAGTTTTGTATACTCTTATTTTTATATTACGAGATATATATTTAGCCTTAATTATTTTGTTCATGGACACAGCACATCTGTTGCTTTTGGTCAGTATCAGGTTGATTTCAGTTTCTTCCTTACATGTCTGATCAATAAGGGAACTTAAGTACATATACTAATCCACCTTCTCGAATTCTATAACTGGTCTATCCTCCACCTCCAATTTAAAGGATCCCCTGGTGTTTATTCCTTTTTTTTCTCGAGATTTCCATGTACTTAGATTTATTAATATTAACTTTCAGTCACATTTTAGAGCGTTCCCGAATCAGTCTTTTTGCCATACTTGCCAGTTCTTTTCCATTTCTTGCAATGAGAACCACATTGTAGCAAAGAGGACCGGATCTATTTATCCCACTAATCCTTACAATTTTTTCTAGAACTATAACTTTCTCCTTGGCGAACACCTTTTTTCACTTTGAATTCTTCTGATACTGTATCATCGCATTTACACAGCACAAATGGTTCTTCTAATTGTCATTTTTACAAATCTTACTATTTTTTCTGGCACTTGGAATTTCTTTCTATTAATTTGTTTCCACCGATTGTATCGTAGGCTGCTTTGTAATCAATGAAAAGTAGTTGTACTGAAATGTTGTATTCATAGCAATTGATCAGGATTTACAATCAAAAGACTGATATTTTTTGTACACACTTATGACAAGTCGAAAGAAAATGCAAAAAAGTATTTTTGAAGTGTGTATATTTTAGGCAATTCCTAGCTGAGCGCTTTCGGCTTTACAAAGCCATCATCAGAGCTATGCTACAATAAAATGTTCTAATAAGTACTAATTGGTAAAGATTGTAATTTTTAACTTACGTCAATTTTTAAATACCACTACAAAGGAGAGATCTCATTTCCTTAAGTTTCACAATTATGATTTTGTAGGAGTTGGAATTTTTAAAAACATATAAAAAACATATAAAAGGTCGACACTGGACGTCACAAACACGTTAAAAAATTGAAAAATTTTTTGTCATGGTACGGGTTTAAGACCCGACCATCTATTGATGTGAGGATGTAGACTGAATAGAACTAGTGAAATCAAATGTCGGTCCTTTTAAACGATTTTTCAAAAGTGACAGGTGACAAATGTCATATATAGGAAATAGAGATTGTTTTTTAAATTCTTACAAAATTATTTAGTAGTTTGGAATTACTACTAGTCATCAAAGACTTTCTAAAAATTAAGTTTTTAAAATTAAATTTTATGTGTTCATCACATCATACAGAATGACATTAATTTGTAAATTCACTCAAGTCATTGCTCAAGGTCAATGTATGTTCAATCTGACAGCTATCCTTAAGATATGATGAGAACTCTGAATCAAAGAATCAAAGAACACCTCAATAACCCAGAAAAATCAAACTTTGGATATCACATTAAA